AGACCGGGCCGCGGGGGCGTTGACCCCCGGAACTCTCTCCAGGTAAACTCCAGGTATTCACTGATGTTTCTGTGATGACTTTTTCAAAATTTTCTAGATGTTTCACTGTCACCTGAATATAGGTCAATATTTTAGCAGTGTAAAAGTTTTGTGGCTATCACTGGTATCTACACTGTCTGCTGAGGATACTTACTCTCACTTATTGTTAATTTGTACAGCCTTTCCTCACTTAGCGATGTACTCACTTACTGACGACTCGGACTTACGACAGGCTCCCTGTTCAGTATGCATATCTAAATAATGTATATTAGAGCTGATTTCCTCTATTCTGTTTAATACAATATACAGTACACTACTATATAAACATTTAAAAAATACCAGAAATGTTATGAATGGTGCAAAGTGACATTAAAACAATATCAAATATGGTTGACACAAACCCACTACCACTATAGGATGCACCTCACTTAGTGACGAATTTGTTTACCAACGTGGTCTTAGGAACAGAACTCCGTCGTTAAGTGAGGAGAGGCTGTACTTAATTAAGTTGGAGGTTAGCTCCAGCTCTTGGGCTGCTTCCTGACCTTATCTGGGTGATGTGAGTAGCTTGTTCACCTATGTTAATGCTTTTGTTTAAAATCTTTTCCCCCTTGTTTCAGATCCCTGTTCTGTCTTTTGTTCATTGTTGGTACTGTACTGTTTGTTCATTGATATTGTTGAACCTTTCGTTCATTGATAGTACTGTAACTTTTGTTCATTTATAGTACTGTACCTTCTTTTGTTCATTGATAGTATTGTATGTTTTGTTCATTGATAATATTGTACCTTTAGTTCATTGATAGTATTGTAACTTTTGTTTGTTGAGAGTACTGTACTAACTTTTGTTCATTGACAATACTGTAACTTTTGTCCATTGATAGTACTGTACCAACTTTTGTTCATTGATAGTACTGTAGTAAATGTATTAAATCTACTCACACCAGGGATAAATATGGTGAATACATATATATTTGCCAAATTCACATCCAAAAACCTAGGCTAGGAAGTTGCATGAGGATTTAATTAGAAAAATGCCTGCAACTAGTGATGATGTGAGTGAATTTAAGGCCAGCAAAGGTTGGTTTGAGAGATTTTACCCTTTGACTGTTTCAGGCCCCTTTCTAAAACTGTCATTCTATGTCGCCAAATATTCGAAAAAAAAAATATTTTTTCTTATGAAATGATAGAGAATGTTTTCCCGATGGTAATGACACCAAAAGTTCGAAATTTGGTCGAAAACTCACGGAATTATGCTCCCGCGAAGTTAGCGGAATCGGCGACATGTGTATCGGCGATTTCGCCGACTTTGAGCCCTGTTTTCAGCCAATTTCGTTGTTCCAGTTGACCAAACTCGTAGCTATTTCTTTAGAACTCCATTTTATCTATCAGCTGAGTACAAGAAACTGCCCATTTACCAATTTGAACTACTCAATATAGTGGTCAGAAATTGGCAGTTTGGCCAATTTCACGCAAATTAAAAAAGATGCCAATTTCAAAATAGGGTCCAGAATAAACAAGGTAGACATTCTTGGCACTAAAATAGCATATCCTCTGTTCATTAGCCACATCTCTAGGCCCCTCTTATATTATTATTGCTTTCTATTTTGATTTTTTATTCATACAAAAAAATACAAAATTTACTGTTATGCAGACTACTGCATTATTGTAAAAATGATATAAATAATATCAGTGCACTAGTGAAAAAATATTAGACTCCCCAGTTGACGTGTATTGGACGTGTGGTGTGATTTGTTTACTCCTGAACATTGGTAAAAATCGAACATTTCCGCTAATTTGAGCTCAGTTTCAAGGTCGTTTTCATCATCAAAGTAATGAAAATCATCTTTATTTCTGTAATATGTTTTCCATTTTATCACCTAAGACCATGAAAACTCGAATACAACGATAAATACTATATGAAAATACACCTCAAAGTCGGCGTTTTATTCCAAAAAAACGATCAGTTTTTTTTTTTCTCATTACGCAATGTGTGCTGCAGGATTTTTTTTATGTGGTGCACACTGACCACACAGACCCATTCTCTCACATGTGGGCCTAGCAGCTTTCTCCCGCTTGATTTGAAGCCGCTAGAATTCTTGAGTATATATATGTCAGAAACATTGGCTAGTAAGACGTATTTATACGTCGAAAACAGTCAAAGGGTTAAGAAGCGTAGTGGCATACATAGTGTGATAAGGCATGGTGAGGCTGCCAGTTCGGACCACAAAGCTGAAAAATATGTGCATGAATTCAAGGAGTACATAGACAGTGAAGGACTGAAACCTGAAAAAGTGTTTAATTGTGACGAAACAGGCCTGTTTTGGAAGAAAATGCCAAGCAGGACCTACATTACTCAGGAGGAAAAGGCACTCCCAGGACATAAGCCTATGAAAGACAGGCTTACTCTGTTAAGGTGTGCCAATGCTAGTGGTGATTGCAAAGTGAAGCCTTTATTGGTGTATCACTCTGAAACTCCCAGAGTATTCAGGCAAAAGAATATCCTGTGGAGGGCAAACAGTAAGGCATGGGTCACTAGGGACTTTTTCTATGACTGGTTACACCATGCATTTGCCCCCAATGTGAAAAATTACCTAATTGAGAAGAAATTAGACCTTAAGTGCCTCCTGGTGTTAGACAATGCCCCTGGTCATCCTACAGACTTGGCAGAGTGACTTTGTGGGGACATGAGCTTCATTAAGGTCAAGATTTTGCCTCCTAATACCACTCCTCTCCTGCAACCCATGGACCAGCAGGTCATTGCAAACTTCAAAAAACTGTACACAAAAGCTCTGTTTGAAAGGTGCTTTGTAGTGACCTCAGAAACTCAATTGACTCTAAGAGAGTTTTGGAGAGATCATTTAATATCCTCAATTGGAAAAAACCTTATGGGAAAGGGTTTGGGAGGGAGTGACTAAGGGCCTTGGAACTTTTTGGGAAAGAAACTGTGCCAGAATGTGTAGAAAAAAAGAATTTTGAAGGATTTGAGGCTAACCCTGAGAAGTGTATGCCAGTTGAGGAATCAGTTGTGGGATTGGGGAAGTCCTTGGGGTTGGAGGTTAGTGGGGAGGATGTGGAAGAGTTGGTGGAGGACAATGAAGAACTAACCACTGATGAGCTGCTAGATCATCTTCAACAGCAAGAGGCCACACCTGAGGAAACTGCTTCGGAGGAGGGGAGAGAGAAATTGAAGTTGCCTACTTCAAGGATTAAGGAAATATGTGCAATGTGGCTTAAAGTGCAAACCTTTATGGATGAAAATCACCCTCAGACAGCTATTGCAAGCCATGCTGATGACTATTACACTGACAATGTTGTGAAACACTTTAGGAAAGTCATGTATCAGAAATCTTCCCTGTGAGGATAGACTGAAGGCCCTGAATCGGCACTCTCTCGAAAGGCGTAGAATTAGGGGGGATATGGTCGAGGTGTATAAATGGAAAACAGGAATAAATAAAGGGAATGTAAATAGTGTGCTGAAAATTTCCAGCCAAGACAGGACTCGCAACAATGGTTTCAAGTTGGAAAAATTCAGATTCAGGAAGGATATAGGAAAGTACTGGTTTGGTAATAGAGTTGTGGACGAGTGGAACAAGCTCCCGAGTACAGTTATTGAGGCTAAAACGTTGTGTAGTTTTAAAAATAGGTTAGATAAATACATGAGTGGGTGTGGGTAGGTGTAAGTTGGACCTGACTAGCTTGTGCTGCTGGGTCTGGTACAGTGCTCCATCCTTGAGTGGGGATGACCAGACTGGGTGGGTCATTGGGATAATCTTGGGGGGGGGGACATGGACCTGCTCTGCATGGGTCAGTAGGCCTGTTGCAGTGTTCCTATGTTCTTATGTTAAAGGAACGAGAGGTACAGACCTCTATGGACAGATATGTTGTGCAACAGAAGTCCAGTGACTCTGAAGCTGGTCCTAGTGGCATTAAAAGAAGGGAAGTAACCCCGGAAAAGGACTTGACACCTCAAGTCCTAATGGAAGGGGATTCCCCTTCTAAACACTAAGACCATCAACACTCTCCCCTCCTCCCATCCCATCAATCATCACCAGATCTTCAATAAAGGTAAGTGTCATGTAACTGTGCATGTCTTCTTCAGTTTGTGTGTATTAAAATTAATATTTCATGTGGTAAAATTTTTTTTTTCACACTTTTGGGTGTCTTGCATGGATTAATTTGATTTCCATTATTTCTTATGGGGAAAATTAATTAGCCTAACGATAATATCGCCTAACATTGAGCTCTCAGGAACAGATTAATAGCGTTATGCGAGGGTTCACTGTATAAAAAGCACTTGTTAATTATATATTGTGGCTGCCAGTTCCCCGCTCTGTACTTTAACTTCAAATGACTTATGTTCCATGACCAAACTCTTAGGGAAGGTGCTGCTACCATAATCACAATTTCTAATATTTTTTAACTGTTCTTATGCAAAACATTACCATGGAAGTCATTCTCATGAATCATTCCATAGAATGATTCATGGGAATGAAGTTGTGAGATTATGTATAATTTTTACCTTCCATAACTGTTAAATTTTATTCATTTACATTATACATACGAGAGAGAAGCTTACGACGATGTTTTGGTCCAGCTCGGACCACTGACTAGCCACGGTATTGTTTCTTTTTGTTCTTTATTCATTTACAGTGGAACCTAATTCATTCCAGAATGCTCTTCAAGTGCCGATCTATTCGAGTATCGAATGAATTTTACCCAACCAATTTTCTTTTTGGTTGGCTGTTATCACTAATCTTCATAGGCCCTATGGTGACTTATTTATACAAAAATACGTATTAAAAAAAATGCGAAGAAACATGAAATACTTTACAGTGAAGCTCTGGCAGGTTGTGTTTGTTCGGTCGAATGCCGAGCTTTGTTGGAGTAGGGAGCTGTTCGAGTACCGAGGTTCCACTGCACATCCTTTGTTGCCTTGCTGTTATAGAAATAAAGTATTTTTGTTGACTATATAAAAACTGTTTCTCCTCAGGACAATGCAAGGAGTGCAAAAACTTCAACTCCATGTTTGCCATCCTCTCTGGGCTGGGTCATGGAGCAGTCTCCAGACTAAAGCAGACTTGGGAGAGACTACCTTCCAAGTATCAGCGAATGTATCATGAAATGCAAGAGCTGATGGACCCTTCAAGAAACATGAGCAAATATCGTAATTTAGTTCAGAATGAAAATATTCAATCGCCAATTGTAAGTTTGTTTTAAATATCCTGTTTTACTTTTTTTGTTTGGATTATTTGTGTTTTATAAGGCTGTAGTCAGGGGCAAGGGGCTAGTAATCTCTTCTCCTGTATAAATTACTAAATGCAAAAACAAGAAAAACTTTACATTTCTTCTTTTTTGGGTCACCCTGCCTTGGTGGGAGACAGCCATTGTATTGAAAAGAAAAAGGGGCTATACAGCATTTATATTCAAAATTGTATGGCAATTTACAGTATATTGTAATGTGTTTGAGACTAAATTGGGAGGTGTTGATAGATGTTCAGATAAATCCTGTATATTGAGGTTAAAATATTGAGCAAGTCACATGATAGTGATTAACAATATAATTTATATTATATATTTAAAGTAGGAAAGTTAATGAACAGTTGCTATAAAATAATTTTTGCGTGTAGTTTTATTTATTAATTTTTGGGGGGTAAAGTTTTAGGGTTAAAAATTTGGCTTAAGTGTAACTAAGAAGCTGTAGGATGCCTTGAATTTAGGAGTTACTAGTGGTCATTATAGATCAGTATGTTGATAGAGAAGGCTGGTATATCTTTTTTATTTTGTATGGTCAAAGAATGGATGATTTCATATATGTATATCTGATGTGCCTACCATTTTTTGATCCATCCGGGCTTAGTGCTTCCATGTGAATAAAATCATATGTGCACAGTTTTTTTTACCACTGGTTTTATTAAACCTAGTGTGAGATTCCCCAGTTGTTTAAGCCATGTTTAATGTGTAAGATGAGGAAGACTTTTATTGAAATAGTAAGTTGCTGTGGGTGCATGTGTGTGTGCGAGCGAGTGTGAGAGTGAGTGAGTGACTACTAATTGGAATAAAGTTTAACGATTAAAAATGTTAGTAGAATATCACTGTTATATTTCTAGCAATCTGAATGTAACCAATTATTTTTATACCTACATAAAGTTGTCTGTTTTCAGATTCCATTTTACCCAGCTGTTGCCAGGGACTTGACATTCACCCATGAAGGCAATGATGATAAGGTTGAAGGCCTCATTAATTTTGAAAAACTTAGAAGGATATCAAGATACATTCGAGACCTTCAAAATATGTGTTCTGCTCCTTACGTAAGTCAACAATATTATTATTGTTATGAATTAACTTACCTTTTAATCCATTCAAGTTACATGAATGTGCGCTCACGTATTTTTATTTATCAACTGTCACATTTTCATTTCTCTTTTTTTCTCTCAGTTTTGGCTTGAGTATATTTTAAATTAGAACCATTTGACCCCTGTTAATGTCCCATATACACAAGGGTAGACTTATCCATAAGCTATATTAAAAAATTAAAAAAGTTTTGGTAAAATATCAGGAGTTGACCTATACAGGAGGGTCTCGCTTATACAGCAGGTTAGGGTCTGGGCTACTGCTGTAAAGCAGGTTAGGGTCTGGGCTACTGCTGTAAAGCAGGTTAGGGTCTGGGCTACTGCTGTAAAGCAGGTTAGGGTCTGGGCTACTGCTGTAAAGCAAAAATCACTGTAAAGTGAATCATAGCTTTTTTTTTTTCACTTTCAGATGCATATAAAAACCTGATATGTTTACACTATCATATATTTATAGATGGGGTTGTAAGAGAAGTAAATGCGAAGGTCTTGGCAAGAGGCGTGGAGTTAAAAGATAAAGAATCACACACAAAGTGGGAGTTGTCACAGCTGCTCTTTGCTGATGACACTGTGCTCTTGGGAGATTCTGAAGAGAAGTTGCAGAGATTGGTGGATGAATTTGGTAGGGTGTGCAAAAGAAGAAAATTAAAGGTGAATACAGGAAAGAGTAAGGTTATGAGGATAACAAAAAGATTAGGTGATGAAAGATTGAATATCAGATTGGAGGGAGAGAGTATGGAGGAGGCGAATGTATTCAGATATTTGGGAGTGGACGTGTCAGCGGATGGGTCTATGAAAGATGAGGTGAATCATAGAATTGATGAGGGGAAAAGGGTGAGTGGTGCACTTAGGAGTCTGTGGAGACAAAACTTTGTCCTTGGAGGCAAAGAGGGGAATGTATGAGAGTATAGTTTTACCAATGCTCTTATATGGGTGTGAAGCATGGGTGATGAATGTTGCAGCGAGGAGAAGGCTGGAGGTAGTGGAGATGTCATGTCTGAGGGCAATGTGTGGTGTGAATATAATTCAGAGAATTCGTAGTTTGGAAGTTAGGAGGAGGTGCGGGATTACCAAAACTGTTGTCCAGAGGGCTGAGGAAGGGTTGTTGAGGTGGTTCGGACATGTAGAGAGAATGGAGCGAAACAGAATGACTTCAAGAATGTATCAGTCTGTAGTGGAAGGAAGGCGGGGGTAGGGGTCGGCCTAGGAAAGGTTGGAGGGAGGGGGTAAAGGAGGTTTTGTGTGCGAGGGGCTTGGACTTCCAGCGGGCATGCGTGAGCGTGTTTGATGGGAGTGAATGGAGACAAATGGTTTTTAATACTTGACATGCTGTTGGAGTGTGAGCAAAGTAACATTTATGAAGGGGTTCAGGGAAACCGGCAGGCCGGACTTGAGTCCTGGAGATGGGAAGTACAGTGCCTGCACTCTGAAGGAGGGGTGTTAATGTTGCAGTTTAAAAACTGTAGTGTAAAGCACCCTTCTGGCAAGACAGTGATGGAGTGAATGATGGTGAAAGTTTTTCTTTTTCGGGCCACCCTGCCTTTGTGGGAATCGACCAGTGTGTTAATAAATAATAAATAATAATAAAAAGTGAGCAGTAGAGCTAGGCCTTAAAAGTTTATACACAGTACACACATTACTTACTTTAAAATATTTTTGTCCGTAGCTTATAGTGAGTGATGAATATATTTCTTGTAGGAAGTCTGAATAAATGAAGAATGGATATAATTGAAAACTGCTGTATTAGCAAAATGCCATAAAGTGAAGCACTGTAAAGCGGGGCCTCTTATACGTGGAGACAGGTTACTCTCCAGTCTGTACTTTAAATAAAATTTCAGGGAAAGACCTATGACTCGACCCTTGCAAACACATCTGAGTACATTCATATGTATAGTTACACTGCACAAATAATGTAGTTTATAAACAGGATAGTTCTCATTCCTTCTTATTGACTGATTTAATATATAATATACTTATTTATATACAGTGGTACCTCAGTATACGTCCTTAATCCGTTCCAGGACCTTGGACATGTACCAAACAAGACGTATTCCAAACGAATTTTCTCACAAGAAATATAGGGAAAATGATTAATCCATTCCCATGAAAAAAAAAATCCTATTGTTATTGGTATATTATACATTGATGGGGTTGTATAAAATAATTTAAACTGCTTAATACTAAAATACATACATAAATACAAAAGAATTAGATATAAATAAATGCAAAATTAACCTCACTTTGCTGAAAAGAGTCAATTACCTACTAGGATAGTGCTGAGACGGGAGGAGGAGGTAATGTTATTGTTTGGAAGGAGAGTCCCCTTCTCTTTTCTGTCTCTTTTCCCTATTTGGACCTGGTTGAAGCTCACCTGGTTTGACTTTTACTAAAAATCTGTCCAAAGAACTTTGCTTCTTCCTTCTCCTCAGAATGTTTTGGAAATGACAGTCTGGTCATCCCAGACAATGCTATTATGGCTTGTTTGGGCTTTGTTGGGGTGTTACTTCTTTGCAAAGTTTTTGATGTCCATCCATTTGGCAAAGGTTTCCTTGATTAATGAAGTAGGGGCTTCCTCTATCTCCTCTTCCGAGCCTGAAGAGAATGCATTCATCTTAGTCTTGTGCTCCTCCTTCTCAAGTTCCTGCAGCTCCTAAGTGGTCAGCTCTTCCCTGTGCCCCTCCACTAACTCCTCCACATCACCATCACTCACATCCAGACTCATGAACCTGCCCAGAGAGACAATATCCTTCACTATAAACACAGCCTCAAAGTCCCTTGTAGCCACTGCTTCTGGCCACAAATTCCTCCAAGCAGAGTTCATTGTTCTGTATGAAACTTCCTGCCAGGCTTTGGCAATGAGAGTTATGCAATGAGTGATAGTAAAGTGATTTTTCCAAAACTCTCTCAGGATTAACTCTGTCAGAGGTCACTTCAAGACACCTCTGGAATAATGCTTTAGTGTAGAGTTTCTTGAAATTACTGATGATCTGCTGATCCATGAGTGAGAGGAGTCATGTTACGGGGGAGAAACTTTACAGTGATGAAGTTAAACTCCGGCAGCACATAGTCCTGCAAGCTTGGAGGGTGAGCCGGAGCATTGTCCATTATGAGGGCCTTCAGAGGCAGGTTTTTTCCTCTAAATATCTTTTTACACTTGGCACAAACACAACATTAAACCATTCGCTGAAATATTCTCTGGTTACCCAAGCCTTGCTGTTTGACCTCCATATCACAGGTAACTGAGTTTTCTGCGCATTATATTTTTTTTAAAGGCCCTTGGATTTTCAGGGTGGTAGATCAGTAGAGGCTTCAGTTTGCAATTCCCACTTGCATTGGCACAGAACAAGAGAGTTAACCTATCCTTAATTGTGTCCTATTGTGTAATATAGGTCCTGTTTGGCATTTTCTTCCAAAACAGGCCTGTTTTGTCATAATTAAAAACTTGGGGAACAAAACCCTCAGCCTCTACAAATTTCTCAAACTCTGTAACAAAATCATTGGTGGCATCTTTTATCATTTTGACCCATACAAGTTCTAGCATGCGAGTCGTATTCCAAACAATGGTCGAATACCAAGCAAAAATTTTCGTGTCCAAACAAGACGTATACCAAGTTGGGCTTATTACAAAGCGGACGTATACCAAAGTACCACTATATTTTATTCCCTACCTTGATGAGAAATGGCCACTGTATTATTTAATTTTTATTTCAGGATTTATTCAACATCCAGGATGCTGGAGGTCAGCCACCAAGTTCTGCTTTGATATCTCTCAACCAGATGGCTGGTGGTGGACACCAGACTGATACAGTTAAGAGACGAAAGAAGTCAACAGCTGCTCCTGATAAAAAGATGTATGAAGAG